TTGCCTTCGAATCGAATCGAATCTCCAAAATTTTCTTCGAATCGGATCGAAACGAATTGGCTCAAAAAATTTCGAATCGACTCGAATCAGTCTTCATTTGAGCTCGAATTGAATCGAAAAAAAATCTGTTGAATTTTTCGTATGCAAGTCACGCGGTATTTTTAAACTCATTTTAAGTGGCCCCTGAACCGTAGATGTTCGACGACGATACAACGTGTAGTGCGGGTATAGAGCGCGTGCCGCACACTAGACCCCAATGCGATTCGATGTCGAACCAACCCGATTCGAAATTTCGAATTATTCGACATCGAATCAGGCAAATTCGAAATCGAACGAATTCGAATCAGGTCGATTCGATTCGGTTCGGTATCGAACAATGCGCACAGCTCTGCCGCTTAGGCCGCACTAGGGCGAAGCGATGGTATTTTCTGGTAGGTAGAAAACGACAAACCTCTTCCCCCCCAAAAAATGAAACCCTCAAATTTTAGCGACGGAGCGTGTGTAGGACTTATTGGTCCGATTTAGGGGCTGATCCGAAATAGGTTCAGTCGCTCTCAAAAACCGCGGATTTAAAGATACTGACTGGGAAACGGCTAATGAATTCACTTACCTGCTTCAACTTCAATTGTGTCGTTTATATGTTAATGAATGTCGAGGCACTTCTTGGTAAGAAACATTATGTCACACCTTTTATTGCTGTCGAATCTCGGGTTGTTCTCGTACGTTTTGTATTACTGCATGGGCAACCAAGACACCGAACCTGAACAAAAACAAAACTTTCAATGGGGTTAGCTGTCAAGAACAGCTACTTCACTTATCCAGGCGTTACTTTGGGCCACTTGTAGGGCCGGAAGCCCGCCCATGCCCCTAAGAAGATAAATTGAATACGGACAGGCCTGACCAAACACTACCGGCAGGCAAATAGGCTGAAAGCAGTACCACCTTTCATTTCCCCGCACCTTTCATTTTTCAGTCGGTGATCTGGAATGGATCCTGCAGCTAGTATGCGTCTCCATCTGCGCGGAGAGAGGCCGGCGCAAGATTTTTATTTTGCAGCCGAATTGGAAGCAAAGAATTGGCCACAGTTGTCGCCCATGGAAGTAGCTTCTGTTCTAGGTAAGTTTTAATATTCGTAGGAACACGTCCTTATACAGCAATATGAAAGAAAAACTGAAGGCTATCGTACCGTACTCGTATCGTATTCGTATCGTACCAAACTGCCGGCAGGCCAAGCTAGGCCTGATCCCTGCCGAGCCGTATCACGCTGTTACTGTTTGTATAGATTTGTATAGATGGACGAGCTTCTATTTACAGCAGTAATACTTACACATTTTTGGAGGATAACGAACCATTTCGAAAGTTGTTACTCACAATTAATCTGTTCAAGCACTATTAAAAAACTATCCGGGATTTTACGGACGAACACTCGTTAAAAATATTCCCTATGTCCTTTAAGATTTCCCAAAGCACTCCGTAGATTTCCCGTGTCGAGTTTAGCTTCAAACACATAGACGACTAACAACTTGCTGCATTCAGCTTTTTCACTAAATGAAAACTAAGAACGGAGTCCTCTGAGAATTTCTGGTAGTGGTAAGCAGTGAATCTTCGGGAGGTCACCAGAAGTTTTTAACAATGAGTCTACTAATGAAGGAAATGTTCTTAAATGCCGACAAAATTATAAACACTGCTCAAAAAATTTGTCAGTAAGAACGTACAGCTGTACAAAGAATTTCGTCATCCAAAATAGAAAAATAGTAGGCTGAGAGTGCAGTAACCGTATTATGAAGGCAATAATAACTATTTCGTTGAAACCGAAGTAGATGCTTTTCTAACAAGGGAACGTCTTTTGCTGTTACTCAACAATTTAGCTGGGAGCGATACATGTTAAAGAGGACATAAGTAGATAAGATTGGCACCGGTTTTAGCTGCCCATACTGTACACGGTAAAAACGAGCCCTGGGAATCACAGGAGTTTTCCGAGGGGTATTAACTCCCGTAATACCCTGTACACCTCACCTGGGTATTACGCGGTATTACTTGTAATGTAATACCGAAAAATAACAAAATATGCCATAGAATGGCAAAATTTGGCGTTTAATACCGGCGTAATACCCGGTAATACCACGTATCTCCGTGTAATACCGAGTACTCTGTACACGTTTTGTGGTAGTGAATACCCCCTTTGAGTTTTCTTCATTTTCTCGGGGAGCTGGAAGACTCCCAGAGGTTGCCCTGGAATAATTTTCCCAGGAATAATACTGAGTTTTCCAGTAGATCCCCTGGGAATAATGGCTTGTTGCCTCCTGGGTGCACCTGGGGTTCGAACTTTCCTGTGTTTCACAAGAAAACACCACACGAGTAGCAAAAAATTGATCTTCAAGTGCCTCTTTCTCTGCCAATATCGCCGTCGGATTTTGAACAGAGGTAGTCCGAATTGGGAGCTAAATTATCTGAAGGTATCATTATATTCGAAAAAACACCGTTGAAATTGGTACAAACTACCAGCACCCACCTTAGATGTTTTTTGGCCCATTGAAACATTGCACCGACTTTTTTCTAAGTTTTTCAAAGTATTTGACGAAATTAGTCTTAATGCGCCAAACCTCTGTGCAAAATGTGGGCGATATAGCTAAAACGATTCCGGAGATATAGGCACTTGAAAATAACTCTCTGCAATCTTTTATGGTGTTTTCTTACAGAAAATTGTCCAAAACAAACGAATAACATAGTATGCACTGATAAACTAAGTGTGCAACTGCTTAACACTTGTAAGTGTGCTACTGCAAGTTGATAACTTTAAATTATGCATCGCCTCAGCTGAGCACTTGCGCTCTCTGTGTAGGAAGTGCTCAAATAAAGAGTTGCACACTTGCAAGGATTCAACTTGGAGTTGCGCATCTTACAAGCGTCGAGCAGGTGCACACTTAGTGTGTCAGTGTAGGCAGTTCAAAATGGTGCCAATCCTAGTCTGCATATATCGCCACAACATGTATCGCTCCCAGCGACATTGCTGCGTAACACCGAAAAATGATCTTAGGTAGGTATTGACGATGCATTTTGTGCTCTATCCTAAATGAATGTTAACAGTTTCGGATTATACTCCTGTACCGCGGAATGTAGAACAAAACACAAAATTTAACAGTGTACTGCTGCAGCTTTTCCAATCTGCATTTGATGGTGATGATGTTAATTTTTTTTATACTGGTGTAACATATGAAAACAGGCAAAACGAACTGCAAAAGATTTCTGTTGCTTATTTAAAATTAACAGCCACTGTGAGCAGCCCATCTGAGAGGCAGAAACAGCTGGAGCGATTGGCTTCCCCCATCACTTCAAAGTTAATCCTTGCTCCGCCGCCTGCTCTCAAAGACCGCTTGGGCCCGAAGCCAATTGAGTCTCTTCATCGGGTTAAGGTTGGACGAGTGGAGAAGCGACACGAAGAAAAGTGAGTAACTTATGTAAAATCTCCCCCCCTCCCTCTCGCTCTCTCGATCGAAGGCTGGTTTTGTAATGCATTCTTTTTGTTAATATTGCAGGATGACCAAGAAAATAAGCTTCCATGGGCTACCATTTATTCATATAGGAGCCAAGAACTTTTATCTCATTGGAGACAGCCAGATGGTGCGGCTTGCACGCACCTTGAAGTTTTTGATAAGTACGAATTTAGAAAAACTACCCGTTTATCAATTTATCACAGATACTTGTTCTGATAGGGATGCAAAAGACCCTGAAATAGAAAAATTTCACAAACACTGTCCTCATGTTTCCGTTTCGGAAACGACATTAAAAAATCAAATCACAGCTAACATTTTTCCGCGAGGTTTCCGGTTTTTCCCGGAAACATTCCCGGTTTTCACTAGAGCAAAAGTTGGCGAAGTTTCGTGCTTTACTTATTGCGTATTTTTGACAGTTTATGAGACTAGCAATTTTATAACAAGTTTGCCGTCGTAATTCCCTCAAATACGCGATTTTTCATCAAAAGTTCCCAAACAACCCACAAATTTGAGGCAGGAGCTGGGAAGTGCTTTCCCCAATTAACCAGAGGGACTTCACCTTCACGGAGGAATGTTTGCTGTGAAGTTTTTACAGAGTTAACCCTTACGCATTCTGCTGTGCATAAATATACGGAGTTATAGACAGACATAAGTACGCTCATTTTTCTGCATCGTTGTGACTACGCAGTTCCCATTAGGTACAAGTTGTGCAGTACACATATATGTACACAAATAGGGTGTACGAGGGGGTCCAAAATGGAAGTAGAAAAAGAACAAACTCAATAACTTTCCTGTTCCCGTAGTGGCTATGGTTGATCGCCCTCACAGTTAAAAAAGCTTTAAGGAAGTACAGTTTGCCTACAGTCCATCCTTTATATTTTATGTACGGGCCGGAATGTAGACCGTACTTCAGTGTCAAGTCAAGTGCTTAGTGACCAAAAACACGGTTTGCGAAGTTACGGTACATCCTGTACGGCGTGGACCGTAATCAAAAATTACAGTCGCGGACGTAGTGACGAATTGACAGGGCTCACTGTAGAATTTCCTGTAGGGTTTTTTAACAGTGGCTGAGCACGTTCTTTCATGGACTATTATGAACAAATTGTATTTTTCATCCGCAAATTGTACATAGTAATACATTGAATTTTGCACCTTTCTTTTGGCTGCTTATAATGCATGTTTCTACACAACACAATGCTCAACCACGGACT